GCGATTGAGGTTGGATGGGGGGGGGGGGGACGACGACAAAAGTCGGCACTCGAAACACTGCTGTCAACAGTGACTCTCGAGGGCACCAGATTCAACCATCTGCATGCGTACAGTTTGCCGAGGTGAGCGAGCAGTGGCAGGTCCATCGTGTCGAGCCTTCGCTGGGCTGGAACTGGGATGTCAGAAACGGAACACACTCCGTCGGCAAGATGCGTGACGAGTATCGCCCGCAGCTTCAGGAACCACACAAGACGGACAGTGTGACAAACGTGATGCAGGGCAGTGTGGTATTGCGGCCACCCAGGTGCAGGCGCCTGGATTCGGACATGGACGCCGCCCTAGGTGCTTCACACATGGGTGGTGCAGCGTGCCATTCGGTACTCCCGCCGGCAGGCCACGGCGACGACGGTCGGCCAGGGCCTGCCGGGCCTGCAAAGGCCCTGCTAGGGTCGCATGGCAGGTGTTTTGGTGGGATCGTCATCCTCACAGACGTGTCCCCCCTCCACAGGACTGGCGCCAGGACCAGTCGAGTCGTGCAGGATCCCACGACCAACTCGTGTGCCTCGGGTGACCAGCAGACACACACCCCTGGGCATTCTGAGCGGCCCAGCAGTTCGTCAACGAGGTTGGCTGACTGGCTGCGCAAACCATCTTTGTACGACGAACCCCGCATTACCTGACGACCACCTTCATGAACCGCGCCCGTGCCGCCAACGCTCTCGTGGCGCACAGTCGACCAGAGGCGGAAAACCTCGCCTTGTGGGCGGATAAGCAAAGCGGCAACATTTGTCGATCAAAAAGCACTGTGAAGTCAGTGGTGGCCCAGCGCAAAGTCGATCACGACCACATGGAGCTTGTTATCTCCCCCAGATTATGCGCCACGTCGCAAACTCCCATGCGCCTGCCGTCCGTCATGTGCGAACCAGTCGGTTCAGTCGAAGTTGGATCCAGACACCTCATCTCGTGGTTGGTTGGGAGGTGTTCCGATTTGCAAGTCTTGCCGACAAATGCCCTCCCCTGGCAAGTTTGGACCGTGCGTCCTCACCCCCGCCATACTCCTGAGAAGGGAAAGGAGGGCCCCCCTCTTGGAGACCAGGGGTTTTTGAATCTTGGCCCCTGCAAGGATCTGGGACACTGGAGGTCCTTTGTCAGGAGGCGCAGCACGATGATGACGGGCCGCTACCAATGAAACGGCCAGTATAGCGGACGGGTACGTGCCTGTCCCAGGCCAGGCCCTGGTCACTGTCGGCCAGGCGAGAAACGACGGCATGTGTTATACCACTCTAGTCATAAGAGGTGATGGCAAAGGATGGGGTTTCCCGGACCGGTGCCGCTGGCGTCCACCATCTTCACTGCCCTCAGCCTGTTGTGCACAGGTACACGTCTTGCGTGCCTTTGAGCTCCACTCCGTGATCTTCTCTTTCCTCCCCCCGTTCGCTCTGCCTCATACCATGTCACTTTTCTTCTCTTTGGTCTAAGGAAAAGCGGGAATGCACCATACTGTACACCTTCGAACGTACCTCGACCCTCGACCGAGTCTACGGACGCAGACACAAGCGGGCACAGGCGCGGCACAACAAGGCAACGGGGCACAGGCATAGGCACTGGCACCAGCCCCGGCCGGCCAGATTGACGCGGGCGGCTGTCACCAAGGTTAAGTGGACGGCGGCATGAGGGCCGCACGCACGAACGCACACCATGCATACCAGGCATAAAATCCCCTTCCGGTTCCCGCCCGGCCGTCGAGGATGCTGGGGGTGGGAAGCATCGACAGCCAATCCCATCGTCAAGCTTTTGGCATTGCTCGCCGGCATGTTCAACTGCCTGACGAGGGAGGGAGGGCTGCTGGACTGTGACCGACAGGCGGTCAAGGCGAAAGAAGCTCGATCGGTGGTTGCGACGGATCGTGTTACAATAACACGACCGGCAAGCAGGCCTCGGACCTCCACGATCCATCAACCCGTCTCGGGACATGCCCCGACGCTCATCTGCCAGCTTGTCTCGCGCATACTGTCTTGTCTGCCTGGCTCGCCGACCCGTCCCCACAAGGACTTGGGGGCGGGTCCTACACATTGGGATTCCTGGCCCTGATCGCTGATCAACCCTTCTTAGCATGGTTGACGTTTTGTAAACCCATGGCCCCTGACAGGGGGGATCCTTACAACGTGAAAGTCCAGCCATCTGGGGGCTTGTCTCCTGTGTACTTCCAGTCTTTTGCACAGAGCCTGCGCAGGGCTCACTTTTCGGTCATGGCACGTGAGTAGCGGACGAACATGTGCGATACGCGACGGGGTATTCCGAAAGGTAATTCCACGGTGATTCAAGCCTGCAACGCTGGCTGTAAGCAGTCGGAATCCCCATTTCGGTGCCCACGTCGTAGTGCTCTCATGGTCGCTCCTCTCCGTCATCCCTGGCTCTGCGTCGAAGAATCGCCATGCAGATCGCCAGTCTGTGGATCAACTAGACGAGCGAGCCAAGCGTACGACCAAGCCTCTCTGCGACCGTCTCCCCGATGAACTCCGACGTTTGACACCCCAGACTCGAACCGTCCCAAGATCTGGGACCATCTCCTGGTCAAGTCGCCATCTGTCGAGCGACGGGCGGGACAGTAATTCGTTCCTCCTTTTTCCTATATCTCGCCCTGTTTTGCTCTATTCGGCCTTTCTCCGACCGCATCGTCAGCCCGAGCCCGTCCGCGTGGCTCCCCTTCCCCCTCCCCCTCACAAGCTTTGTCAGGTGCCCCCGTTCCCTGTCGGCCTTCTTGCTTATGGTGTCCTTGTCAGTGGACATTAATGCCGCAAGCGCAGCTGGTATCTCCACTGACAATGGGGTATTGAGGGGGGGGGGGGGGGGGGGCATGAGCAAGGCTGGAGCTCTCGAATGATGTGCCATTCTAGGCCAGTTCACAGGTAGAGCTGGTCAATACCAACGTTCAATGAGGAACATCTCGCAAGCGCTCCACTTCCAGGGTCTGTACTCTTCAGTGACATTCTGGGAATATTGCTTCGTCTATCACGGTTGGCGTATCGTGCCGCGTGGACGAGGGTTCTGTACATGATTAGGAGCTTCGCTATGGATCAATTGAGTCTTCACTGATCAGAGATCATCACTGAAAGCCTGAGGGCGATGGTGGTGCTCCACCTTACATAGATGCCTCGTGGTCGTTGAGAATGATGCGCCCAAGATTCTTATCGTAGTGTTGACGAAAGGCTGCACGATACGGATCCGAGTCACTCACTGGTCCTACAACCCGATTGAAATAGCTGCTCAACGACAAGGAGTTACTTGCTTCGCCTGTGCATCACAAAACATCCATACTCAGAGCCAAGTGAATACATCGACGTACGCCTCTTCCTCCCTCCGGCCGGAAAAGTGTCATCGTGTGTACAGATCAATTTCACGGCTTTCTCCAAGCTCTACCGAAATGTGAACATCACGTCCACATCGAGGGTACACTCTCGCCCGAGCTTCTCTTTCAACTGGCTCAGAAGAACGGCGTCACCCTGCCTTCGGACACTGATGCCGCCTTTGCAAGTCCGTCGGCACTCCGCGCTCGCTACCGTGAATTCGAGTCACTCGACGACTTTCTACAGTACTACTACACTGGTTTCACCGTCTTGCTGACAGCCGACGACTTTGCCGACCTGGCTTACGCCTACCTCGCCAAGGCCCACGCCCAATCGGTCCGGCATGCCGAGGTCTTCTTCGATCCCCAGGCGCACACCTCGCGAGGTGTCTCGTACGTGACGGTCATCGAGGGCCTGTCGACGGCTCGCCGCCGTGCCGCGGTGGACTTCCCCCAGCTGTCCGTGGCCTTTGTTCCTTGTCTCCTCCGCCACCTGCCGGTCCCGTCTGCCCACAGCATGCTCGACGAAATCGTCACCGCAGGCCACTTTGACGACGGCACCCTGATCGGCTTCGGCATGTCGAGCTCAGAGGCGCCGTACCCGCCCGCCCTCTTCAGCTCTGTCTACGACGCGGCCAAGGCAGCGGGCATCCAGAACCTCACGGCCCACGCCGGCGAGGAAGGGCCCCCCTCCTTTGTGTCGTCGGCCCTCGCCGGCCTCGGCGTGCTTCGCATCGACCACGGCCGCCGCGCCGCCGAGGACGACCGCTGCTCGCGCAGCTCGCCCGCGACAAGACGATGCTGACGCTGTGTCCCGTGTCCAACGTGGTGCTGCGCGGCGCGGCGCGGCTCGCCGACCTGCCCATCCGCAAGTTCCTCGACGCCGGCGTCAGGTTCAGCATCAACAGCGACGATCCGGCCTACTTTGGAGGGTACATTTTGGAGAACTACTGCGCCGTGCATGACGCGTTCGATCTGAGCGTTGATGAGTGGGCCGGCGTCGCCATGGGTGCGGTCGAGGGGAGCTGGTGCGACGAGGCGAGAAAGGCTGTGCTCCGCGCCGAGGTGGAACAAGTAGTCGGCGAGTGGCGGGGGAGGCTGACAGTGGTTTGAGCGAGTGAGTACACCAAATGCAGTGTGACGTGGCGAGCAGCAGCACGAGGCCCTTGTTCTGTGTAACTACGGAGGCCGGGAAGACCACAGAGTCTGCATTTCGTGGGTGCGCTGCCGCCGTCACCTTGCCGCGAGTTTTGAGAATATCTTTCCAAGAACACGACATCGTTTGCCTCCGTGCGACGTCGTCTGCAAGTGGTTGCCTGGTTCATATACTGATGTATATTCGCTGGTTATATTCGCTGGGTTCTCGAGTGAAGCACTTTTCGATAGGCTTATGATATCACGTTCCACACTGGCGATCCACGGAGATCACTTACAATGTACTGCCACAGTGAACCAGGCAGTGTGCCCTTGAAGTCTAGTCTTAGAATACTTAGGTATATCGGTCTACAAGGAACAACAGGTCTAGCCACGTGTCCAGGGTGGTAATACATGGGGAAACTTTAAAAGTCTATAAGAGGGATATTAACAAGCTTCGCAACACGCATCCCCTGGCCGAAAAAAAGACGCCAGGAGCGCACAAGAACTATAGGCCCTCCTAAGCGCAGACGCCAAAGGCATTCTGGCACCCGGTGCCACAATGGTCCCTGCTCGTGCCGCAGAAGTTGAACTGGCTGCAGCAGGTGCCGGCCAGGCAGACGAATCCCTGATCGCCGCCGCAAGCACCGTCGGGTCCGATGACGCCGGTGGGCGTGACGGTGCTCGTGATGACAATGGGAGTGGGGACGCCGGTGGCGGTCGGGGTTGCCGTGCGCGTGGTGGAGTACCAGTTCTCTTCCGGGTCGCCGAGACACTGGCCGACGGGGACGGCGGTGAGGTTCGTCGTGGCGAGGACGCGGAGGAACTCGGGCACGAGCACCTCGGCGGTGTTCTGGTGGACCTGGGAATCTGTCAGTTGCGGTTGTTCAGAGTACTTGGGGTTGGCGACGGTCTCGAGGCAAAGGCGCAGGTGTGACGCAGGGAAGTGTAGAACGTACATCGTGGGCCAGAGCGATGGTACCGCCGGCAGCAAGCCCCTGCTGGAAGATGCCGACGGCCGTCTCGTTGCCCAGGTTGTTGTAGCGCCAGTCGTTCGTGTCAAGGTCAGCGTCGATGACATGATAGCCGAGGGCACCGAGAATCGACAGCGTATCGTCGTTGTAAGCGAAGAACGGGGGCCGCATGTAAGTCGGGAACCTTCCAACGAGGCTGACCAGGGTGTTTTCCAACGTGGTCATGTCCTCAATGATTTCCGCGTCGGACTGGGTCGTGAGATCGGGGTGCCTGTTGGTGTGGGAACCGAGCTGGTGACCCTCCGCCAGGATACGCTCGACTGTCGGCTTGTAGTCGTTGATGTCTCCCCAGTTCTGGCCGTTGACGAAGAATGTGGCCTGCCTTTGGTGTTAGCCGTGTTTTTAGGGGCACTCGGCTCGACGGAGCAGGACAGTGACTGACCTTGACACCAGCCGCCTTCAAGAGGTCGAGGACGTGATCCGTAAAGTTGAAAGGGCCATCGTCGAAGGTAAGGGCAAAGGTGCCGGGAACGGTACAGCTGCGGATGGCCGAACCGACGGGCACGCTGCTCCCTGGGCCATTGGTTGGGGCAGGGGCAGAACTGATCGCAGAGCTGGCAGGACTGATCGCAGGACTGATCACAGAACTGACCGCAGAGCTGGCAGGACTGATCACAGAACTGGCGATGCTGTTTATCGGAGCCGTGCCGTTCTTGACTTTGACGGAGCAGGGCACAATCAGCGAGCTGACTGTCACGCCGGACACCAGCATCGTCTTGAGAGAACGTGAGATTTGCATTTTTGAATATGTAGAGAGTGACTAAGGGTATTCGAAGGAGCGGCTGTGGTTGACAAAGGAGTGTGAGCAGACGAGGGGGACAAGAAGGATGCAGTTCCCTGAACGTATAGATATCTTGACCGGCTTTTAGCAGCAGCTCTAACCATGACTCTCTCGCTCGATAAACTCAGCATGTTGATTGATGAGACCCCTGATCACAACACTTTGTGAGAGTTTGCTACATCCATGCACTGGTAACGTGGTCGAGTCATGCTCGCAATATATCGCATGAAGCAGTGCCGCGCCTTGGCAGTGACCGACTCAACTCAAGCTGTTAGAGTTCAATCCCGATGACAAAGCGGGGGGCTCTGCTTCGCCTCAAATGAACCATATGGCGCGTCTGAGCAAGCTGCGCCGGTCTCCCATTCGGTTCTCTTGTGTTGCGCGTGAGAAGTTGCAGATCACCATCTGCCGGGGTTTCCCATCTGGGTGGCCCGAGCCTACCAGCCGGATGGCAAGCAGGTTGATAGGTTAGAGATCCCTACCGTGGCCCATAATTGTAGCTTCACGACTCGACCTAGCTCGGGGCTGTGAACACCATTAGCCGCTTGACTTTTTACCTAAAACTAAGCTTACTCGCCGTCAAAGCTCGTGTAAGGGGCACCGGTACTTTAATCCAAATAGAGGTTCTTGGAACGTCAGCCTGTTCCATGATAACGGCCTCGTCAGTCGTGTCGCGTTCAACCCCTACAGCAAGTATTATGACTCGAAGGACGAGAGAAAGCGCTGCCACTCCGAGGCTCCATCAATGTCGCTCACGTCACAAAAACCTGCTTTTGCGTTTTATCAGATCCATTATTTCTGCAAACAGGTCATCAGCCCAGTCGGGAGCGTCGCCGTTGATGCTAATCCTGGTTGTTCCCACCTGGCAACTGTTCCCCTCATTTCCGGGCCTCCCGTTTTGACAGAAGCTGGGGGCGAACGGTCACCCGGCAGTCGGGCGGCATTTGCGACGGGATAGTCCGAGGGGCCGGACCCGAGAGATGTATAGCAATAGAGTTTGGGGGTTGTCCAGTGTCGGGACGACTGGCAGTAGCTTAGGCACTGCCCTCGATGATAGTCAAAGCATTTTTGACGTCTTTGTAGCGCTGCCGCCAACAACCCAACTGCCGAGCCAAAAACCAGCCCACAGAGCAGTAGAATCGGGATCTACATGAAAGTGAACCATACGTGGGCATGCCCACGTGCTGGCGCCCCTGTATTTGTGTCGAGAACCGAACTGTGCTGGTGGTGCATTGCTACGTCTATCATGTGTCTAGTCTTCCTCTCCCAAGCCCGTGAGTCCTCCAGCGAGGCCCTGCATCCTACGACCGAGCAGGTCGTCCGAGCTTTTGAGCTTATTCAAGCTCTTTCCCGTCGTCCCGTTCCGCGGCCTCACGGCCTGTCGTTGCCCCACTCTTCCATTGGTCTCTCCGTCGCGCTCCTCGTCGATGGGCTCTACGCCCGCCTCCGCGTCCCGTGCATCTTCATACGCCACCTCCTTACCCTTGCCCCTTCCCGCGCCCCGGGTCCGCTCCCTGCCACGCCCCGCCCTTGTCATGGCGATCTCCAGCGGCCGGTCTTCGTCTGCGCTCGATTCCGTGAGGGTCCGCGAGTGGTGTTTGCCCGACCCATTGGCCTTGGCCGACAAGTCGTCCACCTGTCGCCTGCCAAGCTTCTGCTCGCGCGTCCTCCTTCGCCGCCCGCCATCTGCTTGAGCAAAAATGTCGCTGATCCACTCGGCGGACCGGTCGATCAGCCCCCATGCCGGAGGATAGACGGTCGGGAACTGCAAGAACCCGTGCGAGACACCCGGCAGAAGAGCCACCTCGGCGACGTCCTTTTCGTTGAAGCTGTCTCTGCGCGTGCCCTTCCTCGACTCGTCCCTGTTTGCCTCGTGTGCCCGCTGCTGCTCCCACATTGCCTCTTTCACCTGTCTCAGGCGCGCCGCAAAGATGACGGTGTCGTCGACAAGCGGGTCGCGTTCGCCAGTGAGGAAGTGAACCTTGGGAAACTTGGCGAGCAGAGCATCGGGCGCGAGCACAGGCGAGAGCAAGTAGTCCTGGCTGAAATCTGGGCGGTTGTGGGGGCCGATGTAAAGGATGATCATGGCACGCATCATCTCAGGCGTGAGGACACGGTCATTGAAGTACGAGATCATAGATGACATGGCGAGGCGGGTACGAAGTGGTTCGGCATGGTGGGACGTGCTCTTCTTTCGGCTGAGTGCTTCGGATGCGGGAGAAGAAGAGGATGCGGCTGCGGTAGCAGCAGCAGCAGCCGTCGACGAGGCGCCAGGGCTGGTCAGGTTCCGAGGCCCGCTATGTGAATATTCCGGCTGTGGACTCTGGAGAGGTTGTTTTGCGGTGTCGCCTTCCGGGCTCTTGACAGCCCTGAGATTGAGAGACGGATGCTTCGGCGGCGTTGTTTCGTCTTCGTCATCAGACTGATGAGGGGTTCCGACGAGATCATTGTACTGCATGCTCTTGCGGCGAATAATGGACTTATTGGTGCCCCGCATGCGTCGATCTTTCATCAGAGACATCTGCTCGTCAGACATCCAATTGCCAATATTCATATCAAGACCCGGGTAGAACAGAACCAGGCCGTCAGGCAGAGGCAGGTCACCCTGGTTGAAGTACCGGTTCATCGGTGGCGACGTGCGCTCGATGATCATGAGGGTGGTGGCTGTGGCCAGGTTCCCTCCGGCACTGTCGCCCGTGAGGACCAAGGTGGGTATGTCCTTGCCGGACATGCCAATGCAGCGGCCGCGGCTCTTGATGATGGTTGTGTAGACATCGAAGCACTCGTTGAGCGCATACGGGTAGGGAAATTCGGGTGCCTTTTTGTAGTCGAGACTGAGAACCGGAAGACCTGTTTTGACGGCCCAAGCAAAGAGTTTGTCATCGTTGCATCGTGGATCCATGGCGACAAAGCCACCACCAGGGATATCGAGGATGATCTTGTTGTGTCGCTCGAGGTCAGCCAGGGGACCATCATAATACAGCCAAGCAGACACGGGATCGGTATAGTCGCTGCCGGCGGGTCGCGGGATGCGGACGGCACGCGGCGGCCATCGCGTAAGACGCGGTCGCATGAGGCCTTGGAAGAAGCTGATGTAGGGTGTTGTGCCTTTGTTCCACGAGACACGAAGGTGCTCGACGGTCAACATGCCCCGAACCTTGCGCACCTTCTCGTCGGCTCTCTCGGCGGCGACCATGTAAAAGAGAGAGAAGACAACGCTGGCGATATCACGAAGCCACTTGGAGCGTATCCTCATGGCGGTCCAAAACCCGGCGTCGAGGGCAGTCAGAACCCAGGTGGCGCGGAAGTAGGCCTTCTCGTACATGTTCGACATTGGCTCGGGGCTGGCCAGGCCAAAAAGAGTGCTGAAGTTGCGGGCGGCGTAGAGATAAATCATGGTCAGGACGACCGTCTGCCATGCCGTGAGGCGTTTGCTCCAAAACCTGGAGAGAAAACGAACAAAGGCCGGGCCATGTTTGTGGCCTCTGGGCAGATGGTCAGCATGTGTGTCGGCGCGCGTGAGGTGACCGGCCCGACCCTCAAGGGCGTCAGAGTAGCGAGTCAAGAACGGAAGGCCAGGTCTCACCGATACATGTAAGCCGACCAGAATGCTAGGACAGTCAGGACCTGGAGGCGCCGTGACTTGACGGATGGCCTGCCGAGGACGTGGTCCAGCATGATGGAAGCTTGAAGGTGCAAATTTGATGCAGAGGACGACGCTGATGCTGATGCTGATGCGGAATGTGGAATGGCGTCAAGGGAAGATGATCATCAACAGAAGAAAACAAAGAAATGGTGTCGTGTTGGAGCACGTCGCACGGAAGCCTACTTTGCGTCACGTTCACATGACAGCGTGGTGGCCAGCGTGCGAAACGTTCCCAAGCTGCAGGGCCTGACTCGTTCTCTATGGTAGCATGTGGTGGTGTATTTGCGTCCTGGGGGGATTGGACGAGGGGCAGACTGGCATTTGCTGATGCGGGTTTGAATGAAGAAGAGGCAGTTGAATTGCCGTGGGGGCAGTCAGAGAAATCGGAGTCCGAAGGAGGAAGGTGAAGAGAAGTGACACATGTGTCAGTAGCCCGGAAACATGCTAATGAGCGAACAATAGACGAGACACCAGGCGACGGAGGGTCTGAGGTCGTCGTCGTCGTTGTCATCATGGACCACTGGCATGTGAAAGTGCGGAGGAGAGGAGCGACATCTCCCAGGCCCCAGCCACTTTCCCATGTCCGGATGCCGAACCCCCAGGGTATCGCAGCCTATCAGGTATTCTGGATTTGTGGCTGGAGAAGCTGGTCCACGTGAGCCGGCTCGAATTGGTATTTTAGTGGCCGCTTGCTTTCGTCTCTTGACCTCAGGTGACAAGGGGGCCAGGGGGGCCAGGGGGGCCAGGGGGGGGCCAGAGGACCTCATGTCTCTCAGGTGATGCATGATCGAGACCGTGATGCGTTGGCATATGTTTTGCCGTGATGGTGCCTCATCTTGCAGTGCGACAGCTGATGATGCTGATGATGCTGCAGAGCATTGCATGGAGAATGTCTGAGAAGGTGAAGTGAAGGAGGAGAATGCTGAGTCTCGCAGATGGCTCCTACCTAGGTACCTAGGTACCGCCTTAGTTACATGGGGTACCTAGGGACCCGAAGGTAAGTACCTTCCTTCGCGCACCCTCCTTAGCTAAGCGGAGAGAGGCTCCAGCCGAAGCTCGGAGTGCGAATGTCTGTTATCGCCTATCAATTGCGGGATGCTATCGATAACGCCCAACGTTCGTTCGAGTCATCCAGCGATATCGCCCAGATTTTGTAGTCGGTGGTTGTCGAGCTTCATCGAGTGTGACAAGTGACTGTCCCTCCATAACTCCCTCAACCTCGTTCTTCCGTTTTCCAGGGCCACTTCGTTTTCTCTTCGGACTTATACACGTCACAATGGCTCTCCGAATACCCTTCCGAGTTCAATTGACCAAGGCACAGCCCTGTGTGGCTGTTGGCGCCCGTCTCGCTCGCCGTGGTCTCTCCACCACTGTCCGTACAGAGACCCCTCCAAGCACCAAGCACCACCCGTTCTGATGTTTGACTGACCACCTTTGCCCCTCTTCACTACAGTCACACAAAGCTGCCGTCACGAACCCTGACCCGACCGATGATTCTCCCAGCGCCGCCCTCGTGGCCGAGCATGCCCCCTACATGGTTGCCACCTACGCTCGTCCGCCTCCTGTCTTTGTCAAGGGCGAGGGGTCCTGGATCTGGGACATCGAGAACCGAAAATACCTCGACTTCACCGCTGGTATTGCCGTCAATGCCCTAGGCCACTGTGATCCCGAGATCACCAAGCTCGCCGCCGACCAGGCCGCCACTCTCGTTCATGCTTCCAACCTCTACTACAACCCTTGGACCGGTGCCCTGTCCAAGCTCCTCGTGGAGAAGACGCGCGCTGCCGGGGCCATGCACGATGCGAATGCCGTCTTCATCTGCAACTCGGGCTCCGAGGCGAACGAAGCGGCCATCAAGTTTGCGCGCAAGACTGGCAAGCAGATCGACCCCTCCGGCAACAAGACTGACATCGTCTCCTTCCACAACGCCTTCCACGGCCGCACCATGGGCAGCTTGTCCGCCACGCACAACCCCAAGTACCAGCAGCCTTTTGCGCCGATGCTGCCTGGGTTCCGTGTCGGCACCCTCAACGACATTGATGCCATTGATGCTCTCGTCACTGACAAGACCTGCGGCGTCATTGTCGAGCCCATCCAGGGCGAAGGCGGTGTCACCGTCGCCACCGATGCCTTCCTGACGGCTCTCGCCAAGCGCTGCCGCACCGTCGGTGCCGTCCTCATCTACGACGAGATCCAGTGCGGCCTCGGGCGCACCGGCACCTTCTGGGCCCACGCGCACCTCCCAAAGGAGGCCCACCCGGACATCCTCACGACGGCCAAGGCCCTCGGCAACGGCTTCCCCATCGGTGCCACCCTCGTCAACGCCCACGTCGCCGACAAGATCAAGGTCGGCGATCACGGCACCACCTTTGGCGGCAACCCCCTGGCGTCGCGTCTCTCCCACCACATCGTGTCGCGCCTCGCCGACCCGGCCCTGCAAACGAGCGTCGTCGCCAAGGGCGACCTCTTCCGCAAGCGCTTCGACGCCTGGCAGGCCCGCTGGCCGGCCCTCATCACCGAGGTCCGCGGCAAGGGCCTCATTCTCGGCCTCCAGCTGTCGCAGGACCCCACGCCCATCGTCAAGGCGGCCCGCGAGCGCGGCCTCCTCGTCATCACGGCCGGCACCAACACCCTTCGCTTCGTGCCGCCCCTGACCATCACCGACTCGGAGATCCAGCAGGGCCTGGACGTGCTCGAGGAGGCCATCGTCGCGACCGTGGCATGAGAGGACGGTGAGAAGCTGGAGTCGGGAGAATAGACCTCCTGCTTACGCGAATGAATGTTATATAGATGGTGATGCAGATAGAGGCAGAGCGCTGTTTGATGATTCCCCTTCGTTGGTATCCGGCGCTACAAAATAATAGACGTTGATGTACCTATGTGTATTTTTCGCTGCTTCAGAACAGATGAAAACTTGCATCGTACACTTTAAACACGCGGTCAAATTTCCGAGAGGCAGTTTGTCCAATCTTCAACAGGGCAATCAATGCCAAGGGAGAAAAAAAAACCAATGCTTACTTGTATAGAGCGCCGGACGTCCTACAAATACATACAAAGCAAGTCTTGCTCAACGAGCGGCTCGTCGCTGCACATGCTGCTCTTCAACGACGGAATCCGCACCAAAAGTGTATGCGCTCCCATATGTCCCTCTCCGCCCCCCTCAAACGCAGCTGCCAAGCCTCGACTCAACCACACATCATCCGGCGTGCTCCTCCTCGTGCACCGCTTTCTTCTCGCGCTTACAGCGCACTGTAGCCGCCACGCGTGCCGCTGCCCTGCACTGTGTTGAGCACGCTGCGCGCCCAGTCCTTCAGCAGATAGGGCACGTCGCGGATCGTGTCGCCGTGGGGGAGCAAATCCCACCCCCTAGCGCCATAGCGGTTGTAGTTGAGCCATGAGCCAAAGATGAGGTATGCCGCGATGCCGAGGAACAGGCTGTTCGCCGCTTGTCAGCACATCCGTCTGTCTTCAGAAGAAGGAATACTTGAGGGGTGGGGGGGGGCGCACATTAAGACAAACCAGGTGAAGAACCCCCAGCCAGCGCCAGGAGTCTCGCCGCCGTCCTGGTTCCCGTTGCCGCCCTTGGGAGGGTTCTTGAACGCATCCTCGCACGCCCATTGAGTCCTCCAGGTCAAGCGCAGCACATCGACATCTCCCTTGTCAGACGGACCATAGCTTTCCCAGATCAGGGCCGCATCGGGCTTCAGAATCTGCTTCTCGCTGCCGTCTTGGTCGTTGCCTTCACCCTCCTTCTTGTCGTCGCCTTTCTTGTCATCGCCCTCCTTCTTGTCATCGCCCTCCTTCTTGCCATCGCCCTCCTTCTTGTCGTCTCCGCTCTTCTCCTCCCGCGCCCTCAGCTTCGCCGTCGTGTCGTAGAGGTCCTCCGGCGTCGTCTCTCCCTCCAGACCCGTCTTCTCGCGGTCGCAGATGAACTCGATAATGGCCTCCTGCGCGCGCGCCTTCTTGTCGTGCAAAGGGTAGCGCCCGCCCTGCAGAATCAGTCGGAGGCCCTCCTTGTCGGCGTCGGCGTGCGAATCGGACCCCTTGAGCCTCTCCGTCTTGGCGTCCAGGTTCCCGCCGCCCCAGTCCTTGAGCTCGCCCGCGATCGGTATGACGCGCTCGATATCGTCGTGCTTCGCGTCCTCGTCCCGGATGTATCGCTCGATGGCGCAGACTGCAAGAAAGGAGACCACCCCGTCAGTAAACGTGTAAGATGGCAAGGCCATGCCAGAATAACGGTGGTGCAGAGGGCAAGAGCTGGGTCACGCACCTCTGGTCCCGTTGGGACACTCGTCGCCCTTTTTCACGTCACCTTTCCTCTTCAACGGCGCGCAAATGTCCAGCGTGTACGACGTGTTGGCGTGCGAGGGGGGGTGCCAGGTGGACGTGACGACTGAGTGCGGACCCTTGAGCTTTGACAAATTAAAGTCTGCATCGCCTACGCGGATGTGATCGCACCGCAGCATGGCTGACACGGAGAGAGGCGCGAGCAACAGCGACAGCAGCAGGGCAGTGTCTGTCCGCGGTGGAAGTGAGAAATGCATCGTGTCGACTGGTCGAGGGCGCGTGTCGCGTGAGGCCTAAAAGAAAAAGAGATCTGGGATCGGGAAGCGTGGGAAATCGACTGGGCAGGCGACAAAGAGTAGCGATGTATGAAGCTTGCGCCAGACGTAAAAACACAGCGTTGAAGGGTCGTGTGAGTCGTTCTCAAGGCCGAGGGAGCAGGCCAGGTCACTTGCAGGTCGTTATAGCGCCCAGAGAGCTATTTGATCATCCAGGCAGCTAGGACTGAGATGATCAGCGCCTGGGCCACCGCAGATTACATCATTGGGCGCCTCGCAACATCTCCTGAGCGCACGTGATGGGTGCTACCGGGATGACTAACCCACAAGTCCAACGAAGAAATCACCACTTTCGACTGTACTAGCACAACTCGCGGGGCCATCAAGATAAAGACTTGAGGTAATTGAAAGCTTGTAGTAATTGGCCCGAATGGCCTGCCCAGTTATGATACAAATCCCGAAATCACTTTCGCTCGCTCAAAAAAAGGCGCGAGTGCGTCAACTGAGTACAACCAACCGAAATCCCTTCCCGATCCGCAAAACGCCTAACCATACAAGCCTTGCGAGGGGTATATAAGTGATGCAATACCGCGTGAGCCTGTTCATCCGCCGCCGCCATTACCTCAATCCCATGAACTCCTCTCACCCTTGAGAATATCGGCTCGTATCCATCGTCACACCCCTCGTCGCCAACGCCACTGCACAAGTCCTACATGTGGTGGCCTTGACCCATCATGCCACCCATTCCTTGCATCTGCTGCTGCTGCTGCTGCTGCTGCATCATGGCTGCCTGTTGCTGCTGCTGCTGATGTTGCTGTAGCGCTCTCCGTTGATGAAGCATGCCTTGAACGTTATTCTTAGCTTGCATGAGGCAGTGCTTCTTGAACTGTTCCAGTTGCTCGGCCGGGATGTTTTCTGCGATGCCGCCCCACTTGTTCGCCAGGTCCTGAATCCCCTTGTTGTATAGCATTTGACTTTGCATCCGAATCTGCGATGTAAAGTGGTTGAGGTTGTTTTGCTGCTGCTGCTGCTGCTGGGCTTGTTGCTGCTGTGCCTGCTGCTGCTGCTGCTGTTGCTGCTGCATCATGATGGCTTGCATGTTCATTCCCTGTCCATTCATGGCATTTTGGGCGTTCATCATGGGTCGCTGCATGTGATTGCCGGCCATCTGCTGCTGCTGCTGCTGAGCCTGGATCTGTGCCTGCATCTGGGCCTGGAGCTGTGGTGACATTTGCGCGCCTGCCATGTGATTACCTTGCTGCATATTGCTCAGCTGCTGCGCATAACGCTGCGCCATCTGCTGGTTGACCATGTTGCCGCGCTGGTGTTGTGGCAATTGCTGCTGCTGCTGTTGGGCCAGTATCGCTCGCCGTTGCATTTCCATTTGCATTTGCTGCTGCGTCATCTGCTGGCCATTATTGAAGTTCCCGTTCATCATGCCGTTCTGCATTCCGCTTTGCATGCCGTGAGGGATAGATTGAGCCTGCTGCAGGGCCCGTTGGCGTTGCGCGATCTGAGCGGCAGCCATGCTAGGGTCCTGGTGCATCTGTTGCATATTGGGCGTTCCCATCATCATACCCATCTGCGAATTGGAGGCCATCATGTTGGGCGGCGGGCTCGCCTGGGTCATGCGTGGGGTCGCAGCCATGGCGCGCTGAGGCACTGGCGTGCCCTGCATGTTGGGCGTGCCATGAGGCATTCGAGGTGTTCCGTTCGGATGGCTCTGTTGGCTCGCTCGAGACATGCTGTTCGTCATTGGCACTCCACCCATGTTTCCAGGGTGGCCCTGAGCCACAGATGGAGGGCGCGGCGGGCTTGCCGCCATACTCGAGTTGGTCTGCTGCATAGACACTGCGCCTGGCATAGGCGAAGACATGCTGTGAGGAGTACCTTGGCGAACCACCGGCGAGGATACTTGCGGTTGGCCGACTTGAGCGAATCTAGCCTGGGCCTGCGTAGGTATACCGTTGGGGACTCCCCCGTTTTGCACAGCAACACTGTTTGGCATTCCTCCATTCGCCAGCTGTGCATGTTGTTGGCTCGCGCTGGCTGCGGTCTGGCTGCGTTGCGCGAGAGCTGCTTGTCTCTGAGCCTCCTGCTGGCGAGCGCGCTTCTCTGCGGCTGCCTGCTCGCGCCGAGCCTTTTCTTCCTCGGCCTGTTGACGCTGTGCAGCTAGGAGAGCAGCCTGCTGCTCCTGCTGCGCCTGTTGCTGCTGCTGCTGCCTTTGCAGCGCAAGTTTCTTCTCGTTCTCCGCAGCCTTAATCTTCTCCTGCTCTTTCTTCTCGGCGTGCTCGCGCTTGATGTCTGCAATAACTTTGAACCGTGCGAAGTTAGGCTCAAAAGCAGATGTCACGGCCTCGTTCTCGCCGTCAGCTCCAGTCCCACCCGATTGCACGCCTCCGCTATCTGCGGAAAGCCTGTCGTCAAGCGTCAGCATGAAACGTTCCTTATCGGCCGCGAAAGCGACGTCTGCGGCCATCTCTGCAACGGTCCTCTTTCGCGTTTTGGGCTCTGGTGGTGGGTTGCTGTGTTTGGGGTGGGCCAGGCTCTCCAGCAGGCGAATGGTTCCTCTGGCGTCCTTGGTCGGTTCAAGGTTGAGTACAGGATTCGTCGCGAGAAGAATCTGCGCTTCCGCGTCAAGAATGTTGCTGGCATCCAGTTCCATGCGCTCTTTCTTTAGCTTCTTGGCAGGTGGCGGCATACTCGAACCAGTAGGAGTAGGCGGTACAAGCGACATCGGCGTTGGTGGAACACCATCTATGCTGCCGCGAATATCAGTCGCCATCTGTGGGGTGGTGGTTTTTATCATCAGATCCGCCTGAAGACTCTGCGGCGTCGGATGTAGAACAACTGTAAATATCCTAGGTTGCGCTGGCAACTTGCTCTTGTGACCCTCACCGGGTAGGCTTGGGGCAGGCATGCTCTCTTTGTCCCGATCTTCTGTCGTCTTCTCCTTCGAGTCATGCTCTCGCTCCGCAGCCCGGTCGGATGCTGTGCCCAGGTCATCTTTGGGATAGGGCGCATACGGCGAGGGCGTGATATAAGGGTTGTGATTATGTATTGAGTGAGGAATAATAGCATTGGCTTTTGACGCTGGGCGCTGAACATCCCTTGTCTGCGCTGCTGTCTTGTGGTCGTGGACTTGTACAATCAGACGACCTTCGTAGAACGCGACTCCTTCTTGAGTAAGATCTTGAAGTAGATCATGTGGGATAGTTCTCGTCCGAAGGTGCTCGAGGAAGATTCGCATTGGCGACTTGTAGGAGAATGTGCCGTCTTGCTGGTCGAAGCGGAAGTGCATAGGATGAAGGTGGAGGATTAAAGACGGCGGGTTCCCGGCATATTTGCTGAGAATATACTTGTCGGTAACGACTGCAAGTTGGACGCGTTAACATACGACTGGTCTGGGCGCGATCGGGGGGATGGGCAGAATGCTTCACAACGTACTATATGGAGGCGGCTGGACAGATCGAAGCGAGGCCATTTCAATGGCCATGGAAGCTGAGCGCACTCCGGCGCTGTTTCTCGAGACACGGCCAGTGAGCTGTGCAGATGGCTCTCGTCGCGTTCTGTTCGTAGGGCGCGCCGCCGCGGCATTAGCGCCAGTGGAGTTGGGCGGTTTCTTTGTAGATATAGATGGTGATGGTGATGATTTCGGCGCCATGTTGATTCCGTTCGTCTGGATTCCTGGAGGTACTGGCCTCTTGACTTTGGCTGTGACCGGCAACGTTGGCGGGTGGATCGCCGTCACGACAGGCGCCATACTGCCTGATCACGAGGCAAGGCCTCAAGTTGCAACCTTTGAGACTTTTCCAGAAAACTGAAGCTTCCCTCTTGTATGGCGCCGATATCGATCACTACCTCAACATTTGCAGGTGTGCGTCGTCGTACCTCGGTTGATGATGGACGACTGATATGGGGCCGGGGATGTCAAGCGCTGTGGCCTATTGGTTATGACGTCGCGAGGCGACAGGGACAATCGGGTCGCAACTTGGGCGTGAGGCGGGCCGGTAAGAATAAGCAGTTAATCGAGTCGTGCGATCAATGCGAAATTGATCGTCGGGATGATGGAACTGCGACGCGATCGATGGATGTTGATGAGGGTGGGGGTAGTGGTCGGGTATTTGGCGATACCGTGAGGGATGGTTGTAGTCAGACGTGCCTATGGGGAAATCTGCGCGCGATGAGCCGCAGACAGAAGCGGTTAGAGCGAAGCGTCGCGGCTTATGTCATCGTGAGAAGCAAGCCCACGGGAGCCCGCAGGTGAGGATCGTCGGGTCATCACGTGATAAGCTTGAGTCGTTTCAACGGGTCCAGGTCTCAAGATTGAATGACCATCATGTCGCATAGGTACATAATGTCCATTCAACATTGTTGGTGCCATCAGCCCGATCGATCATTTGGGGGGCATTATCGAGCGAGTATTTGACGTCTCCATACCCTCTACAGTCCCACCTCAGCCACGAACATGATTGTAACAATCGTTTCCCATTAATGACGTAAATAACCTCCAATCCAGCTTGCCAAGGCTGCAGCGGCAACCTATTCCTTGCCTTGTACGCGGCGGGCCCAGTCATCTCCAACGCGCATGCCGTCCACGACGACTACTCCCCTGCCACGACCGACCCTCTCGGGCCGCTGCCACCACTTCTCGTCTGCCTTCTCTGCCTCCGACTCACTGTCAGCGAGTCCACCGTCGCCACTTTCGGCGCCCACGACGAGCACAATCTCATGGCGGAGCCACGCCTGCATGGTTGTGACGATGCTGCCGTTGTCACCCGCCAGTGACTCTTGGAGGTACACAACTTCGGGTTGCAGATGACGCAGAATGTGGGCATAGCCGTTCGGCGAACTGAAAGGTAGAACCATAGAATCTTTCTCGACAATACTAAGCGCCTGGGAATGAATGGCACCAAACGCCGGACTGGCGGATGCATCAAGGACCGGACTCTTCGAAGACTCGCCGACCGGCGTCTGAGCTTGCTGGTGCTCAATATTGGAGAATGAAGAGCTCAGTGATGGCGGCGGAAGGTTGCTCGTTGACTCCGCTGGTGTATCCTTAAGGCCAGGAGCGTAAATTAACACAAACACCTTGAACTTGGAGAAGTCCGTGTAACGTGGAATATGTGACAAGATCGACTACCAGAGTGTTAGTCGACGAGACAGTTCGTTACCCTTGCTGTGAGTTTGAACCTACTGCGTGCTCCAAGAATCCGTCTTCGTCCATGTCGTTCAGGCTCGTGTCCGCGGAGACAACAATGACGACAGTCTTGCGCCGCTTTGCCGGCGCCCGAGGCTGGGAGTCGGATGGGCGGTCCTTCCGGGCATTGGCTTCCTCAGACCATGTCTCATGGTCAGCATAGGCGCCCTTATCTTCCTCGCGTATGGCAGCAAGAGCACGTCCGGCAGCAGCGCCGGCGGCTGCAACGCCCGCTGTTACTGTCTTGCCAGCATGCTCAAAGAACTGTTGAGGGCTCGGCGTACGGCGCAAGGCACCGGACATGCGCGCTCCCCACGTCTCGTCGGTGGCATCCGGGAGAGGATGGGTGGTGCCTTGGGTCTGGCCCCTCAAATCTCCAGTCGAGGGTTTGGATCCTCTCGTCGAGGAGCCGTACGCCGGGTTGTCGCCGTAATCGGCATTATCGTAGTCCAGACCGGCATGATCGTCTTGCTCTGATACCTGATTATCATCTTTTCGCTGGCTCCACACCCAAGTAGCTACCCCGACTGTCGCGACAGTGACCGTAACAGCGAGGGGCACCCAATGACTCCACACGCCCCTCCTTCGCGACGAGTTATCGTATGGCGGCGACATTTAGGCCGAGGCTGTCATGGCAGGACGGCGCAGGGCCTTCGATTGGAAGAAAGAAGGGTCGATCGTTGGTGTATGGATGGTCGAGAGTTCAAATCGACAGGCAACGAGGAAGTGTCGAAACGTGGGGGAGCTTGTTTGTGTCGTCGTGAGACAGTGACATAGGTTCCGGAGGGAAGGGGGGCTGCCTGCTTGTTTTCAGTCGCGAACGCGGGTGGCTGGTCGCTCCTCATCACAAGCGCGGGCCGACGTGAGCACAGGTGCCCAGGCCAAGATCCCGAGGTCTGTTGTTGCCATTGGTCGGCAAGTCGAAACAGTTACATTAGGATGCGCTGACATAACACACCTCATGCACGTGATATGAATTTGGGGGCTGCAAGGGCAAGGTTGGGGTGGCAGGGTCCACTTTCTGATGACTCCTTCCAGAATCGTTGCCGCTTCATGGCAATGATCACAGAAAAGCTTCAGACCAGGCAGAGCGCTTCCCAAATCCCAAGTCACCCCAAACTAAATTCTTTCTCTTTTTCGAATAAAGTCCAAGAAACCAGTCTATGCGCAGGTAACGGCATCATCGTTTAGATCATCAACCTTGCGACTGTCGAACAATCCTCTCATATCAAACTGTCATCGTTCAACGTTCACGATGCCCCATGCAGTCTCGGTACCCTCACCAGGGCTGCAAGCTCTGATCCTCTGCGGTCCTGGCTCGTCTTTCCCGACTTTTACTTCTAACCCTGATGAAAGCCCCAAGGCCCTCCTCCCTATTGCAAACCGACCCATGGTCTGGTATGCTCTCGACTTCTGCTATCGAACAGGCATCACGGGTATTGGCCACTGCTGTATGAATCCAATCTCACGCTGACAATATCACAGATATCACGCTTGTCTGCCCAGCTTCTGCCAAGGGGCCAATCGAGCAGGCCTTGAATACGAACCCCCACCTGACGGCGCTGCCTCTCCCCAGGCCAGATATTCTGGCGCCGAGCGATCTTGAACAGACGACTGGCACAGCGGAAATTTTGCGCCTTGCTTCTGTTCGGGAGATCGTCAAGTCCGACTTTGTAGTTCTGCCATGTGATCTCGTTTGCGAGCTTGCTGGTGAGAAACTTGTGCAGGCTTGGATGGTCAAAGCAGCCAGCCTTGCAGAGGTGCTGGGTTCTCCAAGCCTAGCAGGAAGCAGCCGCTTCAGTGGCGGCCTGGGCGTGTGGTATGAAACCAAAACGGCTCTCGCGGTGAAGAAGGAGGAGACGGACTTCATCGCTTCCACCCCTCTGCCCTTCCCCGCAACATGCCAGCAAAAAGGCTCGCTCTTGCCACACTTGTCCAACCTTGTGTACTCGATGCCGAAGGACTCTCTGAAGGATCTCACGGAAGAGAAAAGCGGCCTGCCGATTCGGCACGGACTGCTTCGTCGGCATCCTCGGATCCGCATGCTCACAACTCACCGCGATGCTCATCTCTATATATTTCCGAAATGGATACTCGACTTTATCAAAGAGAACGAGCGCTTTGAAAATATCGGCGAGGACGTCATCGGCTGGTGGGCCAAGGCTGGTTGGCAGGCCGGCCTTGGAGAAAAACTTGGCCTGGAGGAGATATTGAGAGAGGAGGACACAAAGGATGCTGCTGATTCGGTGGAAGAACGGACGCCATCACCAGATCACCAGGAAACAGACGAGCCTACGCCTGCTATGTCTTCGAGGACCAGAAGAGCCTCTAACGCAGGAAGTATCAAGTCTGGAGAGACTGCGGCTGATGAGAAGAGCCTTATTGTGCCTCCCGTTCTTGCTTACATTCATCCTTCAACAGAAGCCGCGCCACTCGTGCGCCGGGTCGACACAGCACAGTTGCTTCTCAACGTGTCACTGCAGCTTGCAAAGATCCCTTCTCTAGAGGAGACGCTTGGGCAAGAGGTATCGCCCTTTGCACATGCCAAGAAGGTTGCCTATCCCGAAGGCGTCAAGTCGAGAACCACCATTACTCGCCAGGATAGTCTTGTTGGCGACAATGTTACGGTCGAGGAAAAAGTCTCCATCAAAGAGTCGGTCGTGGGCGCCGGCTGTCAAATCAGCGAAGGCGCAAAGCTCTCACAATGTCTGCTTATGGATGGCGTCGTGGTTGGCAAGAATTGCAAGCTCACCAAGTGCATTCTCGGCAAGAGATGTGTGATCGGCGATGGCTCAGTTTTGACCAACTGTGAAGTCCAGGAGAACCTGCTAGTCGAAGCGAGGAGTGAGTTCATGACCTCCCTTTCCTGCCGGCAGGCAAGCCGGAGATGTACTGACGAGACTACTAGCCGAGGACAAGGATAACAAACTCATGAGCTCCGAGGGGCTGGAGGCGACAGAGGAGGAGATGCACGAGGTACTCCAGGATATGGACGACGAAGTCATGGCCGTCAACGAGGTAGCCGTCGAGTAGGCAGTGAAATCAAGCGCGACTTCGAAACACACTCACTGTTCACACACCTTCGGTCCCGGAGGTCCCTGACTCCTAGCAGGGGGGGGAAAATCTCCCGCCATCTGCAAACCACGTTGTCGGCTTGTCCCGGGCTGACCAACCTGAGATTCAGATCCTCTAGGCGAGGTTGACAGCTGCAAGTCACCACGCACAACTTACTCGATCTGGCCCGATCATGGGTATTGTGAAGTTATCGGTGTCTCGCAATTCGATGGCTAAGCGTAGCCTCGCAGCCTCCATGTGGAAGAAAAGGGGAGGCATGCAGCTAAAAAAGGCGTGGGTATGTTTAGCTTATAAACCGAAGGCTGCACCGAAGCACCGGGAACCCGATCTCTTAGGGTTTTCACGATGAAGAGGTTCGCGCGATGGCGCAGTATTGGCTATGTGACACGGCCTAGGCTTCGCGCACTCCACTGATGCGCACTGGCGTACGCGGGGACGATGCGGACGATGTGCCGGGCCCGAACCATCGTCGGCGGCCGGAATGGAAGAGAGTACGCGTGGAGAATGATAGAGGGTGCACATCTCCGTCCCACACGCGTTTAGCATCTCCGCCGCAACTGCGGCTGAGGCAGAGACATTCTTCGACTTCGCCTCAGGGCCGAGAGTCTGGGCCCTCTCGGAACCCGAGTTGCTACCCATCGCTCCAGACCCTACCGGCGCCGAACGATTTCCACTTTAATCCTCAGCCGTTGCTGACTTAGTCACCTCAACTAGCACGCTTCGAGGCGAGGGCCGGCCGCTGGACTGTCGGCCCGCATACTGTGCTGTGCTGTATGCTGTGCTTCCCGTTGCTGCACCGAGCAACTGAGCACTGGGCACTGGGCACTGGGCACTGGGCACTGAGCTAGGGGCAGAGAGGGGTTTCTGGTACCGCTGTCGGCAATTGTCCCCTTTTGTCAGGGCAATCCGACTTGGCTTTCCTGGCGCCGTCAACCGCAAATTTTCGGATCACCCGCATCCACCTGCCACGAGGCACGGGAGGAGCTTTGGCTCCCGCGCTTGTGGAATCATTCGGGACGCCCCGGTGACGCTACCGATGCAACGACGTCCAAAGGGGAATTGACAGAGGCGGGGAGAGGGGACACGAGGACCTTGCAAATGGCCAGTCAGACGCACCAGTACCGAGGGCTTGTTAATGGCTCGGCACCAAGCAACCACTACGCAGGCTGTAAGGGTCGGGAATTTTTCCACTGCGCGATGCAACGCTTACGGAGCCCACGGGACTTTCTCATCCCTTTTTCCCACGCGAGCCGACCCCATCACAATACCACCCACCACCGCCCGGCGAACGTTCCGGTCCGGGGCCTGTAGCCACGAGAGAGGCACGGCTGGCCCCCTTGCGCTGTAGGGACCCTCATGAGACGATTTGAGTGCGCTATCTCGACTGCGCATACGAAGCGAAGCCATACTGGGCAGGCGCAAGGGGAGTCAATGAATCGTACAGTCTTCTTTGGGACGATCGAAGTGCAATAGTAATATCTCCGGCGGAAGTTTAACAGCACACCCAAGAACCCAAGAGGGGCTTGCACTGGTCGAACAGGCGACGACGAATGCCAGCGACCACAATAGTCAGCGACCTGTCACATTTTTTGCGAAATTTTCCGACATGGCCTGCTGGATCTGACCAGCCATGGACGGTGGGGAGGGGCGGTTGGCTTCCCATCACCGTCGTACTCAACATGTAGGTACCCGATATATATTTTTTTGGTCGGGGGACGGACGAGGGGCTGCATTCTCTGTCTCTGTTGCCAATATGGGATGTAACTCGGGCTATTGCCGCACGATCCCTTGATGACCAACACCACAGTCACCGTCAACCGACTCGAAACAAACGAGGCAAGCCGTGACGACGCGCTTGCTGCCCTGTCTCGTAGTCTTGCGACAGTGCCTGTTCTGCAGATCAAACCAGTTCTGCGTAGTGACGGCGATCACCCGCAAGCCAAATCAGCTGATGGCTTCGATGCTCCTATTAGCTCATCCGCCGCCTCCAAGGCTATCCGCTCTGGACAATATCCATAACGCTCACAGCCGGTGGCTTGGCATTGATCAACGGACGGATGGGGTTTACCGGAGCGCCGGCGGATCGTGCGAGCTGGAGATCGACGCCTTCCCAACGCCCTCGACGTCAAGGAATAGACCGAGGACAGCGAGGCGCTGCCACATCGAAACATGCCCGCGACAGGCGCGCGAAACAATGCGAGCAGGCGGCTGAACTCCTAAACAGGCGCACAGTCCGGACCGATGCCAAACATGCCTGCCCGAGAGGGTCGTCCAAGTCATTTACTTCGCAATCCTTGCTCGCCCTCTCACTCACTCCTACTCTGTGTCCGTTTGCTGCGGTTGCCGGGGCTCTACCAATATGGCCTAGGGGGCCGATCAATGGTGGCCACGCCAGGCACCAGGGG